TCTAGTGGATGAAAAAGTATTGGACTTGAAATTTCCCACAATGCAACTTGAAAAGCAGTGATCATCCATGGTCACTAGACGAGCGGATATATCCCTGAATTGGACTTACTGTCACTATGACAAATAACAAAGATGGTGATAGCCACCATGCAGGGAGGCGGAGTCACGTGAACAACGGGGAACTAAAAGCAGTGATCATCTGTTCAAACGGTCAGTTAACTGAGTTCACTAGAAAGTCCACCTTATATTCCCCGCTCTATGTAGTGATTGAGGGATTTAGGGGTTAGGGGCGAGGTTTGAAAACAGTCTATACAAAAAATTTAATGAGCATGTTTTGTGTAGACAATAGATGTTTTTTTTTTAAAAAGAAGGCATAGTAGTTAAAAGTCAAATTATAGTGACATCTAGTGACAGAAACTGCGAACTGCAACAAACCAGACATGCCAACCCCAAAACTTCTTGGATCATTAAAAATGGAAGTAAAAGATGTAACATGAAATACTTTAGAAAGTAATTGATGTCTAGTGAGTCACTTCATCTGGTCAGTTTCCTATTTTAATTTCTGAAATATTGCAAAACGAAGAAATATCTTGTCCAAGGGTGATGCAGAGGATCACAGTCCATCCATCTGTTATTTCAAGGCTGGACTATTTACTATCAGGAATTCCACAAACTGTAAAAGCCTTCAGCTAATCCAAAATTATACAACCAGACTTCTGATGAAAAATAAAAGATCATATTTCTCTTTTTATAGCACCCCTTAATTCATTTCCTTTTAATATAAATAAATGAGATTAAATAAAGTTTAAGTCTAAGATCTTTTAGTTATCAGGCTCATATGATAGGCTATAGTTAGAGTGGCTTATAAAGAGCTATCTCTCTATAGTTATGCTGCTATAGGATTTGACTGCTGGAGGACATAGGGACCACTTTTCCTTAAGGCTGGAGAAACCAGGTGGTCTGCGTATGTCTTAGTGAGTGCGAACGTGCCTCTGCCCCGTCCGAAGACACTCAGTTGCAGCTCTCCAAAATTGTAGGTGAGCGCAGACAGTGCAGCAGACAGGAGGCCTCTGATTGGTCAAATCTACATCTGCTCTATACTATGCATATTTCCTGTACCTTACCAGCTTGTATTGTTTGTATGACCACCATAGTAGAAAACGACTGGTGAAGGTGGACCAGCTAGAACAGCGAGGTGCGTGAGTACGCTGGAACTCTTTTTTCACCTGGATCCATGCTCTTTTTCGCCGTCATGTCCCTCAGTTGTTATTTTTTTCCACTTCCTCACCGCCTTTGCCGTATCTTGACCCACAGCTAGTTCATGATTGTCCCTCTTGCTGCTTCAGGAGTATAACCAGCCCTTTACTCTGCTTTACTCTTCTATTCTGCTTTTTCTCGTCATACTACAGTAGCCTCATCTGGCCCGGTTCTGTTTGGCTGTGAGATCATCCTGAAGTGGGTTTCTGATGGCATTACTTTTGATTATAGATGTTTTTCAGTTTTTATGCCTGTTTCTCTTCTAGACATAGCTATGGGCTCAGCTTTTACTGTAACTAATTGTTTGTGATGTCCCTTTGACATGAAAACTGGCTCAGAGGTCATCTGTTTAACTGTGTGTATCCTACACAGATCCACCTGTGGGGCTAGTTCACCATTTCCTTCTCAGTATTTATGGATCAATGTTGCAATGTTCCTTTTGTGTGTCTCCCTCTGTCTTCTTCAACTCATGTTGGCCTTGAATCATTGACTGCAAAATCAATGACTAGGTGCAATTAGCCAGGTTTCCTTACATACAAAAAAAATTAACTAGTCTGTACAATTTGATTGGATTAAATGTATGCCTTTACATGACATGTGTTGTAAATTGGCACAATATAAAAAGGCTAAATCGATTTAAATTTAATTTAAACAAACAATTCTAGTGTCTTTCAAACAAGCCAAAGTCTTTCAGGTATCAATACATACAAACATGATGTCTAAAATCCTGTAATATCAATTATTACCCACATTGTACATTTATAGGGAACTTTCAAAGGTGTCATATTGCCTTTTACAATATCCTTTTGTCAGTTAGGCAGCAGGCTGGAACGGCGTGTTCATGGTTGTACCTTATGTGTACTCGAGATAAGATTAAAAGGAAAGCCAGATGTTCAGAAACAGTCAAACAAATCCGTACGACAACAAATACATCGACCACAAGCATGAATCAATGAAGCAAGAAGGAAAACAAACCTCTCTATAACAACATGTGTTGGAGCAGTCAGTGGTCAGGATATTTAAGATTTCAAATTGCAACATATAAAAATATTTACACCCTCACAGAACTACAACTATACCATTGGTATTCTTTCTTTTTTTCTTTTTGATAATCAAACAAGGTAGAGTAGAATTGTGGACTAAAAATCACAAATAGTTTATGATACCTTTATGAATGTAAATAAAGACATTTAAAAAAAACTCTGACCTCCACGGCAGTACTTCATTGCAAAGCTAATCTAAAAATAAGTAAAACTGGTTTTAAATATTTGTATTTATCCTCAATTGAAGCGGGTAAATAAGACGATCAGCCTATGAAATTAGTATTTTTGCCCTTAAACTAAGATGTTATGCACTTGATAATGGAGTATGGACTGACTTTTATTCCATTATTACTGCAAGTAAAGAGCAGGTTTTGTAAATCTAAATAAATAAATATATATATATATAAAAAAAAATAGCAATCCAGAAATCAAACTGGGAAAACTTCCTAAAAAAAAAAAGGTTTTGAGAGTAACTGTGATGTTTTCTCAAAAGTCTTTTTTTTTTCTTCAAATTTTACATTTTCAAATATTACTTTTTCAAATTTATGTTGATCAGATTAAGTCTAACAAATTGCATTAATTTCAAATTTATATTTTCTAGACCACATTCTCTCCACTTAAAGCCCAAAAGGAACAGTTGCTCTTAGTATGAGCATGGACCAATAAATCAATATATATTCAAACATATTTAAGTACATTTGTGTTTTATGTTTGTAATTTGCCATTTATAAACAATGTAACAAAACTAAAATATGAAGCATGTAAATGCCTTTATGAATAAGTGATGGAATAGTTTGATTTATAATGTTTCCGTATAAACCATTATTTTATCAAATTTTTAATTTCTACTCTTATTAATGAGAACTGATTATAATAATATAATGTATATATATTTATTAATATATTTTTTGCTCTATTTCCACCTCCTCATAGGACAATGATAATGCTGTAAGGGAGCCCAGTGCCCCTATCTAGCTCCGCCCCTGACTGTTTATGTAAGCCACTAACTTAGGTAAGTATCATAGTACTCCACTATTAATATGAAAGTTTATTTTCTTTTTTTTATTATTATGTTTTTAAGTGTGCTTATAAAATAAGCACACTTTTTAGTAAGGTTTTGTTCTTTTTAGCAGGGGCGTAGCCAGAAATTTTTTAAAAAGATGGCCAGGCAAAAACCAATGTACACTGAGGGTTGGCCGAAAGCGGATAGGTGCCAGAATCTCAGGGTCAATCTACACTGTTTCAACAGGAAAATAAATGAGATAAACATCCATATTTTTGAAATAAATACAAACTATACTTTCCTACAGCCTTATCTTTAAACATCTGTCATTTCTAGATAGAAGACATGGTGTCAATAGCCGTAGGAAACTGAACAGAGCTCTTAAAGGAATAGTACACCCAAAACATGATTAGCCTTCATTTTCTACTCACCCCCATGCTGAACAACACTCTGGAGTACTTTTTTGATATCTCAAATGCATCTGGAGATCTGGGAGGCTTCTTGCTGTCTGCTGACATTCAAATAATGGAGGTCTATGGTGACCGAGACAGAAAGGTCCATAAAAGTCCACAAAAAACGTGTCAATATTCCTCCATACTGCTCGTCCAATGTATTCCAACTGTCCTGAGTGGGTAGGATCCAGAATTTACTCGAAACGAAGTCCTTTAGAATGTTTTTAGAGCATAAACAGTAGTGTATAGGATTTCCTGAAAGCGCGCACATGCGCGCTCACGACGCTACAGTTTTGGGTGTACTATTCCTTTAAGCATGGAGGGAAAAGGGACTCAAATAGGAGGGGATCTCAGTCAAAGCCTTGAATCCAGAATGTGTGAGTTTTCCAGAGGGAGAGCAACTCGTTGGAGGGAGGTCAGGTTGGTAAAGTTGGACCCTGAGGAGTATGAGAGCGGACTGCCACTTAGTTTTCCTACTGTACTTGAACGGATCGTGTGGAAACCTTTCCCCACCTCAGTGTGAACACAAAATATCTTTCCTGGGGGAGAAGGCCAAAACTTCCAGTCAGCGGGAAGGCTTCCTGCCAAAAAGCAAAGACAAAAAACACAATTAGTCTCAGAGACACTAAGCACAGGTTAGACTCAGCTAATCACAGCTTGGAGTACCCAAAACTGGCAAACACTCTGACGTCGAGGTAGCGGCAGTCAATGGCTCAAATACTCCTCAGTGATGAACCAATGAGCTGCAGGTGTGCAGGAGGACCAAAGAGGACAGGGCACCACCTGGTGGTGGAGGAAGAGACAAACACAAAACAACCCACACAAACTGGATTCCTAACAGTTAGTATATTTATGTGTATAATTAGCTACCAAAAAAAAAAAAAAAGTGAATATTCAACTTGAGAGTATTACTGCCACCACCCCTGGCCCCCCATCTAGCTCCGCCCCTGCGTTTAGCCTAAAGAAACAACAACTAAAGAGTTGTGTGCGTGACTTTAGTTTTATCCCAAAATGAGGGCCTCACTTCAAACACACGTTTCTAATTGGATGTTCTCATTTCTGTCAGCAGGCTCTGCAGTGACACCACGGCCAGAGGTGATGCGCCATTGATCTGCGCCAACAGCCATCTGTCCTTCAGAGAGAGAGAGGAGAGGGAGGAGAGAGAGAGAAGAGGATTGCGCACACCCTGATCTTCTCCTCTCTCACTCAGATCCAGTGTGGCGCACTGACAGGAGGCAGTCCTCAGACGTTTTCGCCAAAAGATTCTGTATGAGAATTAATCACATTCATGTCGACTCTGTTGGATACTAACCCGCCGATGCTATGGTTACCTTTATTACGGTAGGAGCTGTCATTTATTTATTTCACTGCGGCGCTTCTTCTGTGCGCCAACTTCTTTTCCACCCTTTTAAAACTGGACCAAGAAGAAACAGAGAATAGAAACTATTTCTGCAAAAAAAGTTTTTGAAAAGCGCTTTTATTTTAAATGCCAGCTGGTTTAGCCAGAGTTGGAGTTTTGAAGGTTGAGAAAAGTTTCTGGAATCCAGTTCTGGCTCGAAAAATACTTTAAATGCTTTTCTTTTGGATGTTCCTATAAATTTAATAAAAAAAAGAGACACTAAATGCAAAGTTATTTTTAAACTCCAGAGAGAAAAGAAAGTATAATGTGAGACGCGCATCGTGCGCCTCAAGGCAGGACAGCGGGGACGCACTCATTTTACTCGCCTCTCCTGCTGTGTACAGGTAGACAAAAGGGATGGGTATTTCCAAACACACACACATGCACACACCCTGACACATGCACACCAAAGTCAGGGACTCTGTTGTTGTTGTTGTTTTTAAAGCCAAAGCAGTCGTGAGGCGGGTGCTGCCTGCTTCTGCTGCTGGGAGAGGATTTGGCTGAGTGCGCACGGAAGCGCTTCAGGTTGCGCCGCTTCCCCCCCCCCCCCCCCCCCACGCGCTAATTGTGGCCCCTGTGTGAGGTTAGTATGTGTGAAAACTGATCTGATGACTCCCCAAACAACTTCTGTATGCGTCCGATATCTCTTCTCTCCTCTAAACCCGCTCCTACTAAATAAATATTGGTGAAAGCAAAGAGCGCAGAACTACGACGGAGTATTAGGGCCCCACATGAAGAGAAAAAATATTTTTGCCATGACGAGAATAAACTCGACATGTCGACTTTAAAGTCGACATTTCGAGAATAAAGTTGAAATGTCATGTTGAGTTTAATCTCGACGTGTCGACAATAAAGTTGAAATTAGTTCAAGAGAGCCAACCGCTGCACAGGTTACATGCACAGAATCCAGAATCAGACATGCCTTGTGTAGATGATTTGGTCAAATTGTACTTCCTGTGATGATTATACAGTTGCAGCACGTCAAAGACTACCTTCACTCTTAAAACGCAGACTGCAGCTGTGGAGCGCGGTTGCTCTTTTCTCCAAACTTTGGAATGTCGAGATTAAAGTCGCCACGATATATCAACTTTATTCTCGAAATGGCGAGTTTAAAGTCGACAGGGCGAGTTTAAAGTCGACACGTCGAGATTAAACTCAACAAGACATTTCAACTTTATTCTCGAAATGGCGAGTTTAATCTCGTCATGGCAAAAATATTTTTTCTCTTCATGTGTGGCCCTAATACTCCGTCGTACAGAACGGATAAATAGGCTCCAAGAGTGAACCTTTTTTTTTTTTTTTTTTTTTTTTGCAGCAGGTGCAACATGACGCACATAAAAACGAGCAAAAACATAAAAAAAAGAACAGAAAAACAGAAAAGTAAATATGGGAAAGTTAAAGTAATGTAACCCGCTCTGCGTAATGGCGCGCGTGAGTGGGCGTCGGGGGCCCCTTTAGCTGGATGCCTTTCTGTTGTGGCAGATGCCTCCAAATGAGTTGACTTAGGGGCAAAATAAGGAAGGAGATGACTGTTACTATTACTCCAGTAATGGCTTCCCTCCCTCTGAGCCAGCTGCTTTTAAAACACATGGAAAGAAAACAAAATGGAGAGCTGGGGTTTTCAATACATTATGGGAGGAGCTAATAGGAAGTTCCTGGGAAGAAAACTCATTGCTTTTTTTATTTAAACCTAAAGGAGCAGCAGCATATTCAGTTCTTATCTAACTTTCAGATAAATCTCCATCTAGTGATTATAGATCTTCTCCTCTTTGCAGAAAAAAACTCAACCTCATTCTGATGTGTCTATAAACTGATTGAAACCACTTCTTTTTAGTTCCTGCTGTATGTTTCTGGTCATTGTCTGGCTTGAAGGTTGAACCGCTGTCCTGGTTTTATATTTTCTGATGGACAGGATTGCTTTTAGCTCCATCAACTCTTATCAGCTGCTGCACCCGCTTTATGCTTTTCTACAGAAAAGGATAACCTTGGGACATATAGAGGTGCTAGTTACTGTTGCAATAAAAGCATTCCCACAGCATGGTACTTCCACTTCTATGTCCTAACAAGAGGATGTTGTAATTAGGGTTCTTTCTACAGTAAGTTTAGGCTTTAAAAACTGACTAGATGTTTGCCATAATGTTTTACATCTTGTAAAACCCACCGGCGGGTCCAGCTGCTACGTGACCTCGTAATTTTAACAAACCCCCAGTATTGATGTAAAAAACACATTTGGCACAGTTTGGTGACATTTTTGGATAAATGTGCCAAAATGGCCTCTCCGCCTAAGAAATTTCTCACTAATACCATTCTAAAATAAATATTATTCATGTGATTGAGTCCAAATTTGGCATATTTTTACACAACATTTAGATTTAAAAGTCTGTACTACTTTTTTGTGCTATAAATAATATTTTGGTAGTGTTTTGCAATGTTTATTTCAAAGAAAATTTTGGTGAGGTTCAAAAAATGCAAAATATTTTGTATTTTGTCCCTAATATTTCAGGCAGGGTCAAAGCTACAATGGTGCTGACACCAGAAAACCATTATATGACATCTTACCTTTACAGAGGTACCAAAAGTTTCTTCTTAAATCTAATAGCTGTGAGGCTATAAGTTATTTACTTTTGTGTGTTTTTGTCAGGTAGCAATTTATTTATACCCCCTGAGGGTGTAAGAGGTTAATGTTGAATTTAATCAAATTTTTGTTGGTTGAATTATGGGAAATATGCTTTTAACTTCTCCCTCGCTCATCTGTCCTGTTTCTATGTCTTTATGAAGCTGTTTACTGTTTAATCTACTCAGACAAACCTCTGACACCTTAGCTGAATGACTCTATTTCACTCTCTTTATTTCACAATCCATTGAGTAATAAAGAGTTTGTATTTGAAACCTGATAAAATGCTTTAGTAAAGGCACCGGATGTCCAGTTAGCTGCTGTAAATCCGTCAGATGTACAAAGAAAAAACAGGAATGTGTAACTTTCTAGCTGATTGCGCCGGCTGTGCCGAGACGTAAGAAGGCCAAAGATCAAGAACAGAGCAAACTGGTTCTCAATAGAAATGGTCTCAGTAACTGAACTTTGAACAAACAGTAATGGACGTATTTATTATGTTATTAGTTCAGAGTTACACTCCCAGAAACGGCTGGGTCTGTGTGTGAGGAGTTGCATTTAGTTTTACGCCATGTCGCTTGCTTGTTAGAAGGCATGATTCCCATTTCCTGGAATTCACAGGGAAAATGCCTCGGAATAGGCAGACTGCTTTAAGTTGATCATGACATGTCATGACTGCCTTCATGCAGGAAAATTAGATTTCTTTCAGATATTTTCTCCTCAGTAAAGGGGAATCCCATCTAAACATTAGTTACAAGGACTAATTGGGACAACAGCTCTGAAGTCCAAGCTTCAAAGAACGGTAGCCTGAAGTTCATGATAGAAGTGACTAATGGCCAGAGGGGCTGAAATTGGATAACTGGTAATAAGGTCATGACCAGTTCAGCTGCTTTAGACAAGACCAGTATGGCTGAAGGGATGTTCAGTGTAGGAAACATCCATCCATCCATCCATCCATCTTTCATCCACCCATCCATCCATCCATCCATCCACGCATCCATCCATCCATCCATCCATCCACGCATCCATCCATCCATCCATCCATCCATCTTTCATCCACCCATCCATCCATCCATCCATCCATCCATCCATCCATCCATCTATTCATCATCCATCCATCTTCCATCCATCTTTCATCCATCCATCCATTTTTCATCCATCCATCCATCTTTCATCAATCCATCCATCCATCCATCCACCAATGCATCTTCCATCCATCCATCCTTCCATCCATCTTTCATCTATCTATCCATCCATCCATCCATCTTTCATCCATCCATCCAGCCATCTTCCATCATCTATCCATCCATCTTCCATCATCTATCCATCCATCTTTCATCCATCCATCCATCCATCCACCAATGCATCTTCCATCCATCCATCCATCCATCCACCAATCCATCCATCCACCAATCCATCCATCCATCCACCAATCTATCCATCCATCCATCCATCCATCCACCCATCCAACAATCCATCCATCCATCCATCCATCCATCCATCTTTCATCCTTCTATCCATCCATCTTCCATCATCTATCCATCCATCTTTCATCCATCCATCCATCCACCAATCCATCCATCCATCCACCAATCCATCCATCCACCAATCCATCCATCCATCCATCCATCCATCCATCCATCCATCTTTCATCCTTCCATCCATCCATCCATCCATCCATCTTTCATCCATCTTCCATCATCCATCCATCCATCCATCCATTCACAAATCCATCCATCCACCAATCCATCCATCCATCCACCAATCCATCCATCCATCCACCAATCCATCATCCACCAATCCATCCATCCATCCATCCATCCACCAATCCATCCATCCATCCACCAATCCATCATCCATCCATCCACCAATCCATCCATCCATCCACCAATCCATCCATCCACCAATCCATCCATCCATCCATCCATCCATCCACCAATCCATCCATCCATCCACCCACCAATCCATCCATCCATCCACCAATCCATCCATCCATCCACCAATCCATCCATCCATCCACCAATCCATCCATCCATCCATCCATCCATCCACCAATCCATCCATCCACCAATCCATCCATCCATCCATCCACCAATCCATCCATCCATCCATCCATCCACCAATCCATCCATCCATCCACCAATCCATCCATCCATCCATCCATCCACCCATCCACCCATCCATCCATCCATCCATCCATCCACCAATCCATCCATCCATCCATCCATCCATCCATCCATCCATCCACCAATCCATCCATCCACCAATCCATCCATCCACCAATCCATCCATCCATCCATCCACCAATCCATCCATCCATCCATCCATCCA